ACCAATGGGCTTTCCTGATATTTAGGTGACGGGTTGTTTATATGTACTGGAAGTTTTTATAGCCCGCGTATATGGTAATTCAATGAGGCAATCCTTTCAAGAGGTATCACCACTTATAAGAAAAAAAATTGACAGTGAGCAGTCCTCAATCTCAAGTGTTATAATTCTCTGCTGGGGAAAACTCTGCATAGAAGAAGCATGAAAGCCTAGGTATACTAGGGGACTGGCAAAAGATGGCACGCACCAACCCTCAGGGATGAGGCTTCTGCCTTGATGAAAAAGGACTTAGTGTTGTCAGGTCTCATGATGGCAGGGCCAGAATGAAAGTCTCACTTCAAAGCAGGGAAACATTCAACTGATTTGGGAGGCGAGTGCTTGGGTTCAGCCTCTTTCTGGGTGAGAATCGTAATCTTGCATCATGTTAAAGTCCAATTAAACATTCACTTTAAAGCACAAGAGTACAATATAGGTCCTTCAAAGATGTGCAAAGTCTTACAGTTTGTTTTCTGTACAAAACAGACACACCCTTGTTCTTTCTGTAGAAACAGGTAAGTATTCCTTTGAAGAGATCTTCACTGAGTGCAAATTAAATGCAATGGTTTTATTCACTTGGGTGCTATCCAGTGTGCTAGGTGCCTTTGTTTTAGTTTTGTGTCAGCCTTTTATACCAGCACAAGCATAGTAAGGATTAGCATCAATATTTAAGATGTTTGGGGTTTTCATGACTACTTCATGCAGAGTGAATGCCAGTGCGTGGAACAACTATAAAGGTGTGATTGTTATTTAGGGGAAGCTCATTCTGCTTTTTGGTAATAATAAATGTAGGTCTAGGGCACCTTTAAAAGTCCTGTATATAGTCCATAGCTGCTTATTATCACTGAAATGGCAGTATTAAAAATGTTCTTCAGGTAATAACAAATGCAATACAATTGGAGTGAAAAAAGTATATTATTTATGTCAAGCAAAACCATAAAACTTAATTTGCGTTACACTTTCCTCTAATGAGATTATTAAAAGCTGAGTAAAATATTTTCCAGTTCAGAACACTCCATCATCATTTAAGGCTAATTGCAATTATGAGACTACATAGGTCTGCATGGTTTTCATAGGAAGTCATGCTGAAAATAAAGAGTCATAATACTATCAGTCAGTTAAAGGGTAAATCTACACCTGCCATTAGCGGAGGTTTAAGAAAAAATAGCTACATTAATTCTAAGATGCGATAGATCAGATTTATAAAAACTGGATCAAAATGATATTTTCTGTCCAACCAAACCAGTTTGTTGTGTTTTTAGGAAAGTAAGAGCCGATTGTTTGCTGTGAGCAATTTATTTTTTTTTTAAGTGATAATAAAGGCTACCTTTTTATTTAAATAAAAAAGAGGTTATACTTACCTTCTCTGTGCAACGATATTGCAAAGAGTGGTCCCCTACCTCCTTTTCTGGAAGTTCCTCCAGGTGCTGTCTGCTTCTTCCTATAAGTGCTCCCTTAGCAAGCCATGTGTTGTGAGCACCAATGCAGGCATGCTCCCAAGTCAGGTTGTGGGCATCCATAGACACACAACAAAAGTAAGTCCCCATCCTCACTCTGTACTCACAGGAGTTTGGCTGACAGCAGCAGGTGTCTATGACTTCAGCTGCTCTCATTGTCTCTTGTGAGACCAAGAAGAGAGGAGAATGGTGCTGCAGCCAAGGCAGAGAGGAAACATGTAAGTGTTTAGGGATAGGGGGTTTGGTTAGTTGGGAGTTTTGCACCTTAATGCAGGGAATGCAATAAAGAGGGAATAAATCCAAAAGCAAACATTTATTATATTGCAGTTTACTAACTCTTATATGTGATGTTTATGTATGATTTTTCCTTTTTAGACTTTCTTTTCTTTATTTCCATCTGATGACCTGGCCAGTAAGTGTGTTGTTTTTCAACAGAACAAGCTCTCCTATAAATGTAGCAGTTCAGAGTGATAAAATAAGCCATATATCTCCCGATCATTCAAAAAAAAAAAAAAAAACATCCCAAAAGAAAAAAAAAAACTGTTGCTGTAACTGCTTGTGTAACAGCAGTGTTAGCTGGAGTTTGGCTTCAATTTGTCAGTGTATCTAAATCTGCTGGTGTATCTAAAACCCCTTTCCCCTAGACTAACAATGCTGCTCAGTACTGGGACAAGGTCATCCGATGCCCAGGGCAAAGATGTCAAACTGTGCCCCCCTATCATGGGTGGCATCGTGGGTGGGGCTAATTCCAGTGAAACATGCGTGATGGTTATGGCATACGTTACAACAATGTCAATGATTGTAGCAAGCTCCCAGTGCGCAACCCCCTCAACATGACATAGTCTCATTGAGTGTCCTGTGTCTGGTCCCTTCCCCACTAGCATGTCTGATCATGGAGAGGAAGTGGCACAGGAGGAGGACTGTCTGTAGTAATGCTAAAAGAGGCTCACGTGAAAGGGGCAGGAGGGGCTCTGTACAACTGTCTAAGGGAAATATTCTGACCTTCTAAACTGAGATCTGGAAAGTGCAGACAGACCACTCAGAGAGGCTGGATTACAGAACCATAAAGACCTCTATGATTGCTCAAGGACAATAACCTGATCAGCTGGGCTGTGATCACCTACTACTGAGAGCTCAGTACAAAAAACAATACCCAGGCTAGGGCACAGTCCACCTCCTCCAATCTCCACTGTTAGGATGTAACTGTGTATGTAATAAAAAAAAAAAACAAAAAAACTGCCCGCCCAATTTCAAAACCAGACCCTTTGGCAGATCATTGGTGCCTGCAGGTCTCCTGCAGATCCGTAAGTGTATCTGCTTGCCCATACGGAATGTATGAGCAAGCAGATGTACTGACAGGAAGATTCAATGAACTACCATGGCGCTCCACAGTGCTGTGCTAGTTCATTGAGGACTACAAGCCGACAACCGATAAGGCTGTCTGGATTTGTAGTTTCTCATTCACAGAGGACTGTAAATGAACGATGCGGCCAGGTGGGTGGGGTCCCACATGGCAAAATTTGTTAAACATGTGACAGCTAGCAGGGAGGTGGGGGGGAGATCCCCTGCTAGCTGTCAAAGTAGGGGATCAGTGGGGAGCGAAGGCCAGTGTTTCATAAAATGTTATATGTTACACCCTAAATATGAACGGTGAAACAATTTCTCACAGGAACTCATGCTAGCTGATTGTTCCAAAATGGTCTGGCTGTGAAAGTACAACAAATTATTGAAGACTAATGTTTCTTAGAAGTTATTTTGTAAAATGTTGATACAGGAATTAATCTGTCTTTGGTGGTCAGGAAGGGTTTTTCCTTGTTGCAACAAACTGAACTATACTTTTACAAGGATTGTTTTTTCTCCCTGGCTCTGGATCAACTCTAGGTTTACAGTTCTGAAAATAGAAGCTGTTTTTTTCAGCCTGACTAATTATGCTACAGTGTAATTATTGTTCACAGCTTACATTTACGTACCTACAGAATAATATATTTAAGCAGCAGTAATTGTTATTTTTCAAAATAAAACATGATTTTCATTGTACAAAATTATTTACAGTTTTATTTATTATATTTTTATACATACCACTTTCATTATTTCAATCATATGCTTTTTCCTTTTGAACACTTCAGTAGATGTAATTGGCTATGGGTTAATGTGGGTACCCTACTCTATGTTTTTCCATACACCCATAAAATGTAACAACATTAAGTGTGTTTTCTTTCATAGGAGATACAATCTGAAAATAATTTCCTATTGTCATATGAGAAAAAATATTGTACTTTTTAAACTAATCCTGATCATCCTTGCAATAGTGATCTTTGTTATGCATCATAGACACAGCATTAGCAATGGTACAGTTTAGCAGGTGTTACATTATGATAAGGAGAGAAAGGAACTGATTTCTCTGAGTGTAGTAATATCTATATATACAGTCTTCAAAAAAATGTCCACTAATACCCAACTCACCAGAATTTAAATGCCGTCCAGATAAACAAATCACAACATCTTAAACTTTATCTTTCTAGTCATCAAGTTTATACTACCTGGGATAATGCAAACTCTATTAAAAGAAAGGAACATTTTTAAAAAGGCAGGCTTATATATAGAATTTGTTTCTTTCATTTAGAATGAAGGCAAGCATAAACGCAAGGAATGGATGGGAACTTTTGCAGGGAAAACACAACCAACTGGCCTTTATACAGTCTGGCCAATCTAAATCATGTTAACATTCATAGCAAATTGGGGCACAGGCTTCCAACACAAAGCAGCAAACAGGTGCAGCACAGATCTCAGTACTCACTGTAGGTAGATGCAGCACAGGTCCTTCTGCCACACAGGTTTAACTTTCCAAGAGCAGCCGCCTGTGTCCTATTAATGCCAGCCTGTGCCCCCTCATATGTAGCATTACACAGAGTATGATGGCAACAGCGGACTCTGATTGGCACTCTTCTCCTGGGCAGCACAGCATGAAATGGAAAACTATGGTCAAACATCATTGTTTCCCTATCACTGCAAACTTGTGGTGCTCTATCTCAGCTGCTCAGCACAGGTAAATGGTTGCAGCCACCCACGGTCCCCACAGTGGATTTCACCCTGCATTCTCCAAACCATACTTCCTCTTGCTCCAGACCAAGCCAAGATGGCTTCCCCTTGCACTGGAGAAACTCCATAAATGATTATTGCAAAGTAGTCTCCTTAGAGATGGCTGCTGTACTCCAGCATTAATGAATATTCATTAACCCTGTTTAACCCTGCCTATGCTGTCCTACTAATGGTTAGCAGACAGCTAGCTAACAAAACTGACAAGAGCAGCTTTGTGTTTCATTCCAAAACTGAATTTACTTCTGTGAATAGTTCTGTAAAAACTGCAATATAATCACATAAACTGAAATTGCAATATGCTTGTACATCGTGTCTTTCACTAATGCATACAATGAACACATTTTTTGCAAACAGATACCTACAAATCACATTGAATACATTTACCATATTTTACGCTCCATAAGACACACCTGACCATAAGACGCACCTAGGTTTTAGAGGAGGAAAACAAGAAAAAAAATATTCTGAACCAATGGACTGCAGACATAGTACAGGAAATGACCAAAGACTGCAGACACACTACAGGAGATGACCAGAGACTGTGGATACAGTACAGGAGATGACCAGAGATTGCAGACAGTACAGGAGATGACCAGAGACTGCAGACACAGTACAGGAGATGGCCAGAGACTGCGGACACAGTACAGGAGATGACCAGAGACTGCAGACACAGTACAGGAGATGACCAGAGACTGCGGACCTTTGGGGAGAAGAGTGGGGAGGAGAGGGTACCCGAATTTGACAGATACTTGCTCCCACCTCCGCAGAGTTGTACTCCCACCCCATCTTCTGGGACATGTGACAGGTCCCAGAAGACTGCCGGACCATTCACAAAGTGCAATGCTTCTCGCGCATGTGCAGTGGGCACCCAGCTGTGAAGCTACAAGCTGTTACAGCCAGGTGCCCACACTAAAGATGCTGGCACCAGGGAGAGAAGATGGTGAGGAGAGCTCTGGACCAAGGAACAGGTAGGACCAATTAGCACAGAAGAGCCGAGCGGCCAGCCCGGTATTCTAACACGGCGGCCGTGGGAATAATGGGCCGGCAGCTCCATATTCGCGTCCATAAGAAGCACAAACATTTTTTCCCCCATTTTTTGGGGGGGGAAAAATGTGTCTTATGGAGCGAAAAATACAGTAAATGTGATCTAACTATGCATATGACTTTGACAAACTCAATAAAAGAACTTACAGGCATATGTGTATCAAAGGAAAATGGAGGCCTTCACTGGAGTGTTCTTCTCGAAACTGAAATGGAAATGCAGTGGTGGATGGAAAATATTTAATTTTAACAAAACTGAGACACTTCCTGTTCTTTATTGATAAGGGTGAAGTTTCAATGAATGCCAAATAGATGGCTCCCTACTCAACACAATGATGTGATACACAGAACACTGTCCACACTGCAGAAGGATATTACAGCAACAACAAAGGAAGGAAGTCCCACAGCAGTTATTAGCTACAGCCCAGGTTGCACTATTGACAATAAATACCTAACTGGAGTATAATAATATTATATAACAAATGACAGGCTAAATTAATACAATATGTCATAATTAAATACATTTATTAATATGACTTTAAGGTGTCCAACAAGATGTTTCTATTTATTCACGTTAACATACTGTAGTTGAAAGTCTTGATTGTGTTTTCTTTTGTTATGTACGCCCTGCCATTGTGGCATTGGTGGATTGCCACAAATATAGGGTGTGGCGAAGAGGCACACATGAGGTTGCACTTCCACTTTTACACTCAAATTTGAGAAACTCCACTACATGTTTCTTATGTGTTCCCATTCACAGAACATATCTAAAAAATGTAAAAAATATTTCTTATCTTATAGGTGTTTCTCAGAAGAGGATGACTGCAAGGTTTATATTTTAACAAAGTGGTTCCTTTTAGAGTGAGCCTGTCCCAGGGCAGTCCTCATTCACATGCAAGTCCAGCCTCTACATCTTTAACCCTTTGTTACGACAGACAGTTTGAAATCTAGTTACAAATGATAATGAAGATCTGCCTGAACAGTACATACAGGATTAATGTTGGCAAACACAGCTACCCAGCCCCCATGAAAAAATAGATTTACCAGGGTTTGTCCTTGCTGGAGGGTTTTTGTAAATTATGCTATGTGAATGGGGACATGTATATAAAGTAGCTGTTATCCCAGTTTGGATGCAAAAGGGGTAATACACTTTAAGGCAGAGGTCAACAGCTACAAAGGTGTGCTAGAGGCAAGGAATAGAAGTAGTTAAAGGGGGATTTTGGATGGGGATTAAAAATGAGTTGCATAGCAGAATTCTGTTCTGGAGCAAGACAAGGCAGTATAGGAGAGCACTGAATCATCCAGTACAGGTTTGGAAAGTGCAAAGGGAGGGCAGAAAGAGTACAGAGTGAGATAATGGAGGGGTACACATGAAGACCTAAATACAAACCCCACCGTTTGCTCCAATACAACTATATAACCAAAGTAAACACAAGAAAATGGTATAGTGCTGCCCCTATAGTCTTGTACAATTACTATGGGGAACAATGTGCACACTCACACTATAGTGCACCTCCCTCTAAAACCACAATATCCCTAGTGCATAGAAAAATAGGCCGCATTCTAAATAAAAAATATATATAAAATATGTGTGATCCACTCTGATCTAAATTGTATTGTGAAAAAAAATATATAACTTGTAGATCAATTAAATACCACGAACTATAGTGCACTTCCCACTAAACACACATTCTTCCTTATGTGAAAAAAAACCATACCACATTAATTATAATATAAATGAAGAAAATATGCGACCAATCCACAAAGAGCGACATCATTATGATGAAACGCGTCAGTCAAAACTAATTATGTTTGTTCACACCCCGTTTTAGGACTGTGGTAGGTGATAGCAACAGCTCATTTCCTTGATTCTGTTGCGCAAAATCTCTTTTTTGTTTTTGACATAACCAAAGTAGCCATGGCTTATAGCATCTTGGGGTGGCTGATTACACATCATATTTCTGGAAGTCGGTAATGCATTTATAATTATAATAAAAGGCTCTGGATTGCTATTCTCCCTGCCAGTTCAATACAGCTAAATGATCATTTCTGAGGTCCTTGCACAGTTTCTGCATATTCCTTGAAATAACAGTGTGCTTATAGTTTTCTCACTCTCAGTCCAAACCCCTAGACCCCAACTGCTGGGAGAGTTGGAAAATATTTTGCCCTTACTTTCTAGTCATTGGTCTTATGTGTATTGATGCAAAGGAGGCAAACAACTATCTTCAGACTCTTCACACCCAGGCTCAGTGTGTCCTCTATGACTACATTGGCTGATCATGTTAGCACGCAAATTAAAGCAGATCATCTAGTGAAGGGTGTGGTGGGGGCACTATAAAATTGCTCTATAGGAGCAGACAATATAAATCTGTCATATGTGAATAATATTAAAGTTGGAGGTGGATATTCTGTAGATTAAAATAAAAAAAAACATATTCTAATATATATTGCAGGCACTGATAAATTTGTTTCCAGGTGAGAGGAGATAAGAGATACCCCACAACACTAGCTCAATAGGAATGCGAGAAACAGGAACAGAGGAATGTGAATGGCCTTGGCCTTGAGCTGGTCCTGAGCCACGCCTCAGAAGCATTTCACCCTGCCTGTTGAGGCTTAGTCATAGGTCTTTCTCATTCCCTCATGCTTCACTGTTTTCTGGGTCAAGAACAAGAAAGCCTGCATCCTTACATTGCTGTGAGACACTAGATTTAGTAGAGCACCTTGAGTGCCACTACAAGTTTCCAACTGTGTTTATAGTACAGTATTGTAGATAGGGTTTTATTTCCCAGAATATAAAGACTATTGGTTGGGTGAGGATAGTACTTGGTTTTGGTGTCACTGGTGGGGGGAGGGGCTGGAATGTATTTTAAGTGATTTACTGCATGCAAAACCAGTGAGCTTAATAGTGCGGATGTTTGAAGTGTTGCCCCTTGTATTTTGCTATATTGAAATACAGTACATGTTTTCTGGCAATTTTAAGGGGAAAAAAAAAAAATATATATATATATATATACAGTATATTTGGGGAATTGTTATCATGCTTATTCCTTACCTGGAACCTTCTCATGCTAGCTTACTAAAAGTCACCTCTGCCCCTCCAGGACTGCCCATAACTACCCCATAAATTTGGCCTGAAATCGCTTTCAAGTGTTCCATCATAAGCTTCGCATTGGTTACTAGGGTTAGGAGTCCTACGCTGATGTGAGGAGGGTCCAGGAAAGGAAAATTTCACTAAGTATGATAACAATTTTCCCTGGACTTCCTCATGTCAGCCTTTGTCCCATAACTAGCAATGGCAAGAAAAATAGGAGGGAATAAAGTAGACTGAGACTAGAAAAAAAAATGCATGTAAAAAAAAGTATTTCATGATTAACAGGCTTAACAGGATTGGCTGTCCTTTCTTAGTCATTGGTGTTGCGTGAATTCATTGTTGTGGATAGACTCAGGATAAATAACCATCCTTATCCTCCCCTCTTCTTGTGTGTGCCCTCTGGGGTGTTGTTCTCAACCATTTCCACAGCTCCCAGACAACACTCCTTTCTTCTCTGCATATTTTAAACTTAGTTTCATGAAACACATGGAGAATGAGAATTAAGACGTTGCCTAGCCAAATTTTTTTTGTGCCTATTTCATTGCATAGTAATGTCTGTACATGGATGTACTCCTACTATATGTATGGACTTTGTATACAAATTTGGACATGTTTAAAATTTTTTGTATGTTTTGAAAAATAACTTATTTACTGTATATGTCTTTTTAAGAAAAAATTGGACTGTTTACACAACGTACCTCTTAAAAATTCCCATGGGCATTTTGTCCGTGTGAGAGATCCTACCAATTTAGGGAACTGAGTTACGCTTTGTCTATGCACAGAAACAATTGTCTTTACTTCAATGATTAACAGATAATGAAATAACTAAAGCTCCAAAAGGTTCTGTAATGGTTCATAAAGATGTTCACCGTGCTGCAACTTGCCAATTTAAAAAAACACTTCAGCTGATACCTTATTATAAGAAGCCCATGAAGCCACCATACCTCTGGCTGAATGTGCCTGAAACTCTGCAGGAAGAGGATGACTCAAGGACTTACTGTACATGCTGCTTGAGTTGTCTTCATGATGTAACTAGAAAGCACCCTTGGGGACATTGCTTGCCCTTTCTTTGGGCCTAAAGGATAGATGAAAAGATTGCCTACTTCTCTGAAACCCCTGGTCCATTCTAAGTAAGCTGAAAGCAAGTATAATTAAACCAGCTTAGCTCATCTTCGGCCTCTTCAGGCATAAAGGCTGTCAGCACTGACTCCCAGTTCAAATGGAAAGAAGTGGTCATTTTTTGCAGAAAAGAAAATGCATTGGTCTGAGGGTAGTTTTATCCTGCAAAAGTAAACAATAAGGTTCCTCTATAGACAAGGCACATAATTCCAAGATCCCTCTAGTTCAGTGTTTCTCAACCTTTTTCCTGTTGGGGCACCCTTGAAAAGTATTTTCAGTCACGAGGCACCCCCGTCCAAGGCTTGGTTCATGTTACTGTGTGTCGTGGAATGCACGCAAAATTGCGCTCATTCCTGACATGCAGACAAATGCTCTGTTCTTTAGGGGTACCCCATACATTGGCAAACAAGGGGTGTTTTTGGTGTGGTGCAATTTTAAAACTAAAGTCAGGGATGACTTTCCCTGCATTTCTGCAGGTAAGGCAGCCCATTGAAATGAATAGACTGCTCTACACACAGATGTGAACCAAGGTCCTGTTCACCTGTGAGGTTGGAGGGCAGTAAAACCACACAATTGAGCTGCTTTTACTACCCCCAACTGCTCCCCATTTAGCTGCAGAAACATCAGCTGGGGGTATACACATGCTATTGCCACAGCTGGAAGTATACCTCCAGGTGAATGGAGTTGAACTACAACCACCCTGCAACTGTGTGCGCATTGCAGTGTGGTGATTGA